CAATTGCACCTTACATTTTCAAAATAAATGATACTGAGGCACTAGAAGCTTATCAAAGGAAAGGAAAGATTATCTATGAAGTTTATCAAGAAGAATGAAAAATAATAAATATTAAGAAAAGAAAGCAGATAATGATGTACCATTACAAAACAAAAGACAAAAATATCTAGACAAAAAAATTTAATACAAACAAAATCATGTATTTTTCCGCAAAAATATCCACAAATTTGCGCAGCATCATGAAAATATCCAATTTATTGGTGGGTTGGGTGCGTGCTATCCTTATTTAGAAATTGATTTGGCGATTTGCAGATATTTTTGCGGAAAAATATGTGATTATATTATTGAACAAACCTACCATCTATTCCAGCTTTTATTAACGAGATTTCTAAACACAGTATTAATGTTCCAGACTCTCACTGTGAATTAAAAAGTTCTTTTTGTTTTTTCCCCTTAAAACTTACTATATTAAAAGTAATCATGAGTAAAAAAGAATGTTTCAATTGTCACAATATAAAAAAAGGCTTAACTGTTAATTGATGAGATGAAGAAAATGGAGAACATATGGAATTTTGCTGTTGAGATTGTTCTCAAAATCTAATTCAAAAGGAATTGGATGAAAGAATTGCTGATTGAGAAAGAATAAAAAAAAGATCTTTAGGGAAGCCTTAACCAAGATTAAAAATAAAGAAAATTTTGACTGACCTTTTAGGATGAGAAGGTTAAATGACAAAGGCAATGGGAGATGGATAGGTTCACTACATATTGTCTGCAATGCAAAATTATGTTGGAATGAGATGTTACTGCTTATGAAGATAGTTAAGGGCATAAATGTTCTCAATGTCATAATTGCCAAAAAGAAATTGAAAAAGTTAAACAAGATCAACATTTTACTTGAAAAGATGATAATATGCCCAGTTATATTTGCATGAAAAGTGTAGAAAAAGGTGAAATATTTTGTCATACTTGTGATAATGTTAAGGTACATGAAAAAAAATGTATAAATGTTGATTGTCAGACTTTGGAGGAAAAGTTTTTCTGGTTAGTAATGAGCATCAGGAAATTTTACCTGCTGCAGTATTACGTCCGTAAATTTTAATATGTAAAGTTGCAATATTTGCATAAAAATTATGTAATATTTACACTTGATGTAATAATTGCATAATTTTTGTATGCTTATTTGCATAATATTACGGGCCTGCCGTAAACTTACGTAAATAGTGTAATAATTATGTAAATCTGCATCAGAAAAATTTCCTGATGAGATCACTAACTAAAGCTCGTTCAGCAGTCTGTACAAAACATCATGCTGGAAACTTACAAGAAATAACTAGGTAAGATATCTTACCAGTGCTGAAAGATACAATCAACAAAATTGACAAAGTATATAAACCAATGAGGTATCATTTTAGTTTCGGAGTAGGAATATTAGGAGGTCAGAATTCACCCCACTTCTATATGCAAATAGTCCCTAAGTATAGAGAAGACAATGAGTTACTGGATCTAAAGGGGCCTATGAGCCAGCTACACCTGAACAAATAAAAATAAATAATCAAACCCAATTCAGATAACATTATTATCAAAAAGTGTAAAGTGATTGCTAAATTGTGTAATGAAGTATGTTTTGGATACACAAGAATCTCTACTAAAGAACACTTATAAATGCCATTGAAACCAACTAGGCGAAGTATTACAAGAAACAATGCAAAGATTTGAAAGCACTATGGATATTCATTATTTTCAGTTAGGATGTGAACTAGGAGAAGAACTTGTAAAAGCATTAAAAAGGGAAAAATGGGAAGGTGATGTTCCCTCTTATGCCAATGATTATAGGGAATCTGAACTCATGATGAATGTGTTTCCTAAAACCAAATTACAAAAATATTGAAGACATTACAGGCCATTAAAAAAATAACCAATTTGATGGTACTATGGAAAATGAATGCCTTGCTGAAGAACTAAGTGACTGGGTTCTGTAATTACTTGTAAAAAGTAATTATTTGTTCACAATCAATACAAATAACAATTTTCTACACATGAGATCACAGAAACAAAAAAAAACTTTAAGGTTGTGATTATTTATGGTTTTATTAACAACCTGCCTCAAAATTTTCATGGAGTAGATGTATATATACTATCCCTTAAACTGTCCACATTTTCGAATAAGGGAATTTCGAAAAATTTATTGGTAAATTACAAAATTTCACCAACCAAAATTAACCAAATCGCACAATAAAAAATTTTATTATGAATATATCAATTTTTAAGGTAATGATTGACACGGGCATGGTAGACTTTTTACAGTTTTACAAAACCCATAATAATAATGGCCGAATTTCTATATATAGATCAATGTATAAAATCTCAAATATCATTTGTTAATTAGAAAGCATGATGATCAGAAAAATTTTTCTATATAAAAAAATTTAATTGTACAAATTTGTATGATAGCCAGTTTAAGGGATAAAGAAACTATATATCAAATTTGGTGATGTCATTGCTACACAGCAAGGGCATTAAATCGGGTTTGAAAGTATTCAATTGTAAATTTTACTATGAAAAATTTGATGTTGATCATCAAAATTCACTATGTTTTTGCAGTAGAAATAAATTTTTGTGACATGTCCTACAACTGATACATAAATATTGTGTACATGTTTGTTGATCAAATAACAATTCTTTTTTAAAAAATGTCTTCTATTTTAAGCAATAAAAGAAGGAAAAGAAACAGAGAATGGATATTGCCGGATAAGTGTCATTATTTATTAGTTATTATTAAAAAAAATGCTGGTGGTGCTTATTGTCACTCTAGGTAATAGAAATAAAAATAGTTTATAATAGCGTGATATATAGTTTTAAAAAAAGAATGAGTAGTGATTGTGGTTTTTAATTGTTTCAAAACAGAAAAAAAAATTTTGACTTGTATTTGCATTTCTTAGAAAAAAATCACCATCATATACCTTAGAGAATAAAGTAAGCAATAAAAAACAATAAGTTTATTTTGAGCCTGTTTCATTGAAATTTGGCTTTTAAAATAATGTCCAAGTTAAAAAATCAATAAACAAATTAATATACAGCAGCCATATAATTTGAGAGCCAGGAGAGAAGGTAATATTGTAGTTAATATTAATGGTAAAGAAAATTTCAGAGGAATTGAAGATGATTATTATGGAAATGATCATGGAGAAGAAAATACAAAAGCAACTATCTTCATTTATTTCAGCTTTTGATATTTGACAAAATTAATATGATGCTTTTATATGCCTACACACATTAAGATCATCCCTCTAAAAGTACAACAAAGGAAAGAAATTATGATAATTTCAATTTAATGGTTAAAGATAGAATGTGGAAATTATCTTCTGTTTGTTGTGTAGAAGAAAATTTATATACATTAGGAAAAAAACTTAATTATGAACAGTGGGCATCATTAAGGCTGCACATTTGATTAATTATCATGTGTTTTAACCTATATAAAAATCACAATCTACATCATTTTTATTAATTGACAACTGGGTTTCACATGCAGTTTTGGTATTTATATAAATGACTTTGTAGTTGGTAATTGTGTCAGAAGTTCTAACTGCAAATTAATATTCTAGTGCAATACATTCATTCATTTTGAAAATCGATGATGAAATTATAATAAATACTTCATCAAAAAAGAATTGGAAGAGATATATACGACACCAGGTTCTGTTGTTCATAAACTGATTAAGGTTGCTTGCTAAAACTCATCCAGAAATCAATCAGCAGGGTTTTGGCAGGTTACACATTAATTATTTATTAGAGTTTTGACAGAGTTTTGCATTTTGAGGTTTCACCATTTCAGCATAGTTTCAACAGGATTTTTGATAAGATTTAATATAGGTTTCAGCAATTACTAAAGAGGTTTTGCCCACAACCTTAAAACCGACTGATATTGTCTAAGTATATTTGCTAATAAGGTAATAATATTCCATCTATTTATTGATTGATAAACATTTGTGTACTTTAATGATTCACAAAGTCTTTTATTGCAGACTAACCTAAGTGAAATTAGAGGAATATTGAAGAAAGTCAGTTTTGGTGATCAATATAATTTTGAAAAAGATCATGATGTTGACTACATTATATTTGCTATTCATGCTTTGTAAGTAAATCTTTTATTGTAGTCCTTATGAATTACTTTTACAGAATATGAGAAATTGAAAGTGGAAAGCTATACAATGATAACCTTGAAGCATGGTTTAACAGTCATGTTTGGAATTATATATTCGATCAGGCCTTTGATAACATGAAAGCCATTTCGGTTGTAATTTACTTTACTCAATTTTATTTATTTTTTGAATACAACTTATTTTTGATGAAACTTACAAGTTTTGCTTCTTAACCAAGAGGTGAAAGTTCCAGTATTGCCAGTTCATTAAGAAAAAACAGAAATAGGGTACCAAACACACAGAAAAAATGGAGATTGGGTATTAAGATCAATTACCAATGGTGATAAAGATGAATTTGGAATGGGTGAGGTAGAAAAAAACGGGAAACCAAGTATGGCACAAAATTCTTAAAAGAACTCAGTTTAAAACTCCCAAAAAACTTAAAAGACATGCTAATGAAATTAATGGAAAAGGTTTCCTGGAATCCTACACAATGTTAATGTATAAAATTTGTTGATCAATTTTTGTGCATGCTGCACAAATTTTTTCGGATTTGTGCAATAGTTGTGCATGTGTGCACAAAATCGTAAATAATTTAGAAAAATGTAATTGTGCAAAAATTTTTCATTTAATTTGTGCACTATATTTAAAATTTTTGTCTCATTGTGCACTGTGCACATAAATTTATACACTGCACAATGTGATAGAATACAAACAATTGGAATAATTTTTTTTGTTGTTGTGATTTTGATGTTAATCTCTGAAAAAAGTTCATCAATATTCATTAATACTTTAATTTATAGGCTTGGTCATGATTATGATAAACCCAAGGGATACATCTGTAGAATAAAATGAAGTGAAATGATTGAAGTTCCCAATTCATCTGAAAAATTCCCATCAATTTTACATATACTAGCAGCAGTTCTAAATGCGAAGGTTGAATTTGTAATATTTGTGTATTTTCTTATTCCCCATTAACATATAGTTAATATTATTTATTTGTAAATTTAGACTATTGTTAAAGAAACATTAAACACGCAATCAAAAAATTGTGATCAAACATCATTTGTTGATGCAGGTCTAAAAAGGAAACACAGCCAAAATCAAGAACAGTTACCTATTTGTATGACAAGCCCCAGAAATATTTATTAGATTTCTTGTAAAGGGTTCTTTTTTTATTATCTGGAATATTAATCATCATCCTTGAAAAGGTTATTTAAATAATAATTTTCTCACTTGATCCTTTTAATTTCTCCTAAAATAAAAAAATCAATACTATGTCAATAGATACATATCACTTTTTTTATTCTGTAAATAGCATCTTTTATAGCATATGAAATCCGAATTATTTTTATAATTTTTTATACATACTAATAATATACACAAATTTTTATTTATTTGCATAATAAATAATAATATACCAATTTTAAAGATGATGAATGTTAGGATGAAAAATTCAAAAAAAAAAATTGATTATTTATTGTCAAGTTGTATATATATGCTCTCATACCAAAAGCATTTGACAAAAATTAACAAACTATCTAGATGTTGTAAATTAGAAACTGTTTTGTTTTAAACCTTATACACATTAAGATCATGTAATTGAATCTTTTGGAGATTGATGATAACTAAATTTTGATCCCTGAAATTCTTGGTAATACCAATGTTTACTTTGTCTGGTTTTGTTGCAGCATGCCCCATATATTGTTTTTTCTTTATTAAACCCATTTACAAATTTATTAACATGTTTTAGAATTGATTATTTTTGTGAACAAAAATAAAAATTTAATAATAAATCTCTACTAATTTATATACTACAAATTCTTCTAACAAATAATATTTTTCTTCAATATTTAAATTATTTTGATAAGAAAAATAAGGGTGACCACTAT